TAATGACAGAGTCGCTGTTGGTTACCAAACAAAACTGAAATGAGTCGGCCATTTTGAATCAAAACATGAAACAAATGACATGTATAATGCAGTTTGATTGTGACCAGTCATTGCATGTTACGAGACGTGCATGGCTCAAGAACATAATAGTTTGTATAGCGCCTAATATCCATCATGACGATGTCCAATGACGCTGTCAGTTCGCAAAAATGCTCTCTGAAACCATAGACCCTCTAAAAAATCTTTTAGAGGGTCTATGCTGAAACATACAAGTTTTGAGTTTAGATTTGAAATGATTTGAAAACTGGCTGCAGAACGAACGTCTGTTGGTAACTGATTCCATAATGACGGAGAAGCATGCGAGAATAAGCGATCGCCATATGTAAGTGTACCTTAGATGCATTACTTGAATGAAGAGTTAAATCAAGTCTGATATGTAGGTTGGTGTTAAACCATGAAGTGCCTTGTATGCCAGTAGTAGGATCTTGAATTGAATTCTGTAAATAACTGGGAGCCAATCATGTAATTGATGTAGAACAGGGGTAATATGGTTGAACTTCTTTGAACATGTGATGAGACGAGCAGCACAATTCTGTGCTCTTTGAAGTAGATGAATTTGTGTGTCGGGTAAGCCATATAGTATAAGGCATTGCAATAGTCATGAATTTGCATTTGGCCATTTTGAATTCAATCATGGCTGCATTATATGTACGAATAGCTGTCCATGAATAACCTAACGGTGGTCAATCCACAAAATATAATAAAAGTGCAAATAACTCCAAAATTCATTGTAAGCCGAATCATTAAAATAAGACAATGTATGTACTACATGTAATAGAGCTATATCTTTGATTTAACCTTTTCATCACAAATTCACAAAATAGTCCCAAATTTGTTGAGTAAAAACTGAAAATTGACTAAAATTTTGTCCTTTGGCTCCGAAATTAGGGTTCATTTCCAGAAATGTTGAAGATAAGAAGAAAGTGCAGACAAATTTGGGCAAGGTCATGAAAAGGTTAAACCTCAAAATAATTTCAGTCACTTAAAGTTCTATTTGATTAGCATCCAAATCCTCCCGACTCAAATGATATCCCAAGTGATTGTGATGACAAGATGTAGTCTATGCAACCAGGCCAATATCTGGGGGATCAACAAACAATTTCCAAATAATTAGGTTTTCACCAATTAATTTATTTTAATTTTATACATTGTATATGCAATTAATGAGATGGACAATGGAATTTAAAAAACAAATTTGTTTTTAATAAATCAAGTTCAATTCGAAAACAATTATAAATGCAAGTAATTACAAATTGAAAAGAAAAGAACACAGAAAAATGGAGATAATTCATATGATATATTAATTATTGAAAAAAAAATAGGCATCACCACAGAACAGTCAGAAATAGGACAAACACCATGCCCATTGGTTTATGTATTTATGACTTGCATGACAACAAACTTCCTTCTAAATAGATATGGGAGACAAATTTCTATGAATACATGAAAGTTACTAACAAAGAGTGTTTTGGTAATCTGGCTCAGATAGGCGTTGACAACTTTGGGTGCATTCCTCTTTTAAAGCTGCCAGACAAGCTAACGATTGTCAAATATTTGTTGTTGTTTACTTCTTGGATAGCTACGAGTTTCACCAATAGAAAGACTGTGAAAGAAATTTTGCTGCTGAACCAAGCCACGATCCTTGTTGCTCCTGCTTACCAGTTCTGACAACAGCTTTGTCAACACCTTTTATCGGACTGTCATCTTCGGGCAAATATTGTGGTAGGGCATTGTTCTCTTTATCGGCAGTCGTTGGGTTGGCACCAAAAGATAAAAGCACCTATGTGTAGAATAGATGAATATTAACAAATCTTGTACATTTAAATGACACTAATTTTTGATTGATTAGTGAAATGCATAATAAATGGTGCCGAGGTTCTCATACACTGGAACAGTAATTGGTAGTTGTCATACATCGAGACAGGAAGGGGGCGCTGGCACACAAAAGGATAATATTTTAATGAGATAACATTCCAAAATGACAACAAAAAACATTTTACCTTGTGCAAACATGTGTTCAGTGTCTGGATTCTATTTCATACCAGATCAAAACTCGTTCATATTCATACTTACCAATGAGAAAACACGAATCCCATACATACATACATACTTTAGAAATACGTAAATGTTGCCTACCTCTTCCCCACATTCATTTTTCAAGACTTGTTCAGCAGACATTGTCTTAGACTTAGCAATAGCAGCAACCAATGACTAGAAACAAAAAATGTATGCTATCAAGTTTTGCCATGGCAACAAGTTTGAAGAAAATGTCCCAAAATTACAGCAGTTTCCCTTGCAAGATTGCAGTGTTTGTTTTGTTTTGTCTTTCCAACCAACAAAGATGACACTCCCGGTCACATCCATTTTCATGTGAGAGATGCAGTATTTAAAAAAAAAAAAACACTCTTCAAACAGTGAGTGAAAGGATTTATGGATTTTGATACAAAAATCATAGTCAGATTTGGAAAGTAAGAAAATGGTAAATTATTGTATTATTTGATAAGAAGCGTGAAATATCATTTTAATTCATTCAAGTATAGTGGGACTTTTGTTATATAATTTACACTGGTTGAAGGAAAAGCTACATTCAAAAGTTAACAAGAAAACTGATTGCATTTTTTCAATCAAAATGTCTTTGAACCATAGTTTAAAATGTTATGTCAAATTATAATAGTGAACAGCTCACTCAATGTGGAACTCACCTCAGGCTTGAGATCATTCTTTGCTCTCAGCGTGCATCTATGTTTAGAAAGGTCAAAGGTGAAGCTGATAACGCCTTTGACTTTTAGAATGTGTTCTTCACAAATCTTTCTGGATTGCTGAAAGTAATCAACATTTTATATTGTAAAATGGCTGCAAATAAATTCCATGAACTTAATGAATTTTTGTGTGTGTGTACATTTCCAGTAACCAACACATTAAAGCTTACTCAATAAGATTCTACTATCATGTCAACCAATTGCTTTAAAGTGCCTGTGCAATCAATGCCCACCCACACGTTTCCCATTTTAGATCTGTGTCCCACTGAAATGGGCAGTTATTGATTTTTTTTGCTGAAAATGATTACTCGTAAGTAAATTTGAGATATTTCTCGTGTTGTAGCCACGCCTACCTATCCTGACTCTTGCCGAAAGTGCGCCACCAAATGCCAATACACTCCTGAGCCGTCATAACACTGGTCATTCAATACACTTTTAAACGATATCACAGTAACTGCCACTATGGTCCTAGAGAGT